CTGCTGCTGCTACTACTACTACTAATGCTACTGCTACTGCTACTCCTACTCCTACTCCTACTCCTACTCCTACTCCTACTCCTACTCCTACTACTACTACTACTACTACTACTACTACCGCTACTGTCCCCGCACGCACGCAAAACGCTTCTTCAAAAACTCAGGACAATCTGCATCAGCTTTGTCCATTACCATCGCCACCGTTGTTGCAACTGCAGCTGTCGTCGTTGAGCCAGTTTCATTGCTGTTTGTGTCATTGCGGCTGCTGTTTGCTATTGTTGCCGCTGCTCTCTATCTCGATGATTCGATGATGGCAATGCCCCCATAACTGTAACTGTTATTCTTGGGGTTTCACTTACAGCTGCTGCTAGCTACAAGCATTGCTACTAGTGGCAGGCGGATGACAAAATACTAGTTTTCTTTAGGTACTAGTGTTAGGAAGCAATAGCAGCAGCAGCAGCAGCAGCAGTAGCAGCAGCAGCGGCAGGTAGCAGCAGTAGCAGCAGCAGCAGTAGTCTGGCATTTGCAGAGTACTTTAGCCATTCGGCCTGGAACCTCGGCAGCTATACCTCAACTGACAATAGTATCGTGTAGTATAGTATAGTAAAGTATAGTAGAGTATAGTATAGTATAGTATAGTAAAGGTAAAGTATATTATAGTATCAGTAAAGTACGGCATAGTATAGTATGGTATAGTTTAGTATAGTATAGTATGGTATAGTATAGTATGGTATGGTATGGTATGGTATGGTATGGTATAGTACGGTAAAGATAGCACAGTAGAGTATCGTATCGTATACTACAGTATGGTATGGTACAGTATAGTAAAATAAGCTATCGCATAGTATAGTATGGTATAGTACGGTATAGTATGGTATAGTATGGTAAGAATGGTATAGAGCTGTATAGAATGGTACAGTATGGTATAGTAACATATGGTATGGTATCGTTTAACATAGTAGAGTCTAGTCTAGTCTAGTCTAGTACCAGTAATAGTGTAGTAGCAGGTAGCATGAACACAAGGTGCCCACGGCGGCCTGGTTCGACCCCACGAGTTCCACGAAAACCCGCCGCAGCTCTGGCAGAATCACCCAGCCTCACAACCAGGGGCACATTTGCTGCCGCGGCCGGGCTATTCGGGGCTTCCGGCTGTCCAGATTCAATGACGGGGTGTGCCAGCAGAAGGAGTCAGCTTTAACCATTGATCACCTCGAACCTCAGTGCGATACTCTTGTTCTTCCTTCTCTCTTTGAAAAGGAAGTCTCTGAAATAGTTGGGGGTGTCGAAGAACATCCTTGAGTCCAAAGGTCCTCATGGGCGTTTCCATCACGAGCAGATGCATGCGTGCGCTGCCCTCCTGTGCTCTTCTCACCAGCACTGAACCTGCCAGAACCAGGAGTGCACCATGTATGTGATGGTGCTTAGGATGATGAAGCCGAAGCTGATGATGTCGACCATGAGGATGGTGATGGTGACATTGATGCCTATGTTTGTGGTGATATCTTTGTCATGTGCATCTATATGTTTCTATCAATTCTATCCTTGGTTCGGCCGGAAGCGCTCCAGGCTTCAGCATCCGAACGGCCCTGTTCACAAGACAAGCATGCTCAGGTCAGGCGCCTGGCGCGACAGCAGTTGCCCTTGTGAGCGGGGATGTGGATCCATCCTTAAGGACCGGGGTGCACCAACATGCACCGTTACTTCAGGGCAGATTACTATTCAAAGCTTGAGAATCCTCAGAAAGGCAATCCCAGTGTCCGTTGCCGTTGGGCCCTGATGAGACAGCCGCCAGTATGAGAATTCTGGCGGTGGGTTGCCTGAGAAAGCTTGCGATGAGCTGAGGCTTGTGGACTCTTTTTTTTTTTTAGAAATCCCAGGCCCAGGAGCTCATAGGATTCCTCGTCGCGATGGTGATCGACAGCTCCTGGACAGAAGCGTCCCATGGTTGGAAGGTCCCCGCACCGGGAGACTTCTCTTCAGCTCTCCCGACTGGCGGCGTAGGCGATGCCGCCGAGCTCGAGTTCCATCTGCCTTGGTCACGAGCGGCCCGCGCGCGACCATGGAAGAACGTCAGGTGTGGCATCTAAAGCGCAGCCCAGCTGCCAGCCCGAGGAAAGGAAGGGTAGCGTGACAGTGCCTCGATCGCTTCTACTTGCGGCGATGAGAGGCTTTGGTGAACACGGACGGAAAGAAGAAACAAGTCGAGAGTTGAGCAACCCTGCCACGCTTTACAACATGGAGCTCAGCTTTGGCATTGATCTGCGGCCGGGAATCAAGGACCGAAGTTGCATGCGCACCTGCGAAGAGCAAGCGGCGATGGAAGGGACGGCCAGAAGGAGCATAGGGTACACTGTTACCGACAACCTGTACTCTTATCATGACCATCATTTTCAGCCAAGCACCAACCCTTGACCGTGCACCGCCCCACACCCAACCTTCAAACTTGAACCTCTAACCCATCTATTGGCCAAGCACTTCTGCATCCGGCCTGCCACGGCCCCGTGCTGAAACACTCAAGCCCCAAACCCCGAAACCCAAAAAAGAACCAAAGGCCAGGCCCTTTTTGCATCTGGACTTGTGCAATCGCCAGAGACTGTCAACCCGGGGAGCATATGTAGATCTGAGACAGGCCCTACATCCTACATTCGTCCCTCACCCGGGCCGGGCCTCGGCGAAGGCTCCGGCGCCGAGGACACGAAGCGGAGCCAGTCCACCGGGCAACCGGGCAGCAGGAAGCCATCGGGCGCCTCTTGGGATTCGGAGCTGCCAAGACCATGGACTTCATGGGTGGTTCTCTAAATGAGGGTTTCAGCACTCACTCTCGAACATGTCTAGGCGAGGTTCCTGGTACACGACGATGCGCACTTTGGCACTAGGTATTTAGGGTTTAGGGTTTAGGGTCCTTTTAATAAGGGTGCCGTACTATATTTGGAGAACTACCTGCATACATCCTCGAAGAAACCCTCTGCACTGAATTAACCATTGATCTTCTTCTGCTCGCAGGTGCAGGTCAACTCTCAGGACGTCTCGCACGCCGGGAGCAGCAGCGCAGCTGCAGCAGCCCTGCAAGCACAGGCCATCGGGATCGAGGCCGAAGGCTCTGCGTGACGGGCAGTTTCGCGTCCTCACTTTGGAGGTAGCGCGTCGGCCATGCTTCGTCGGCAGCAGCAACTGCGCGGCCGCGGCCGAGATCCAGCCCCTGGAGTCGTGCCACACCGAGGAATCCCTCTGGCAGCTCCTTGTCTTCTACACCCTGTACAAGCAGGCCAAGCTGCATTGTCGACTGCGGAAGCCGACTGCGGAGCCTTCGCAGCAGGTTCCGTGCCACGGCATTGAAACCCCGCACGTCTACGGCGAGCTCTAAAAAGCCGCAGGAGAGGTCGCCGTAGCGAGCACTCTCCTTTTCGATCAGGACGGGCTTGCCATTGAACTTCCGAACTATGGGCCTCAGGACAGAGGGTATGCCCAGCTCCTCCAAGTTTTCAAGGATGCCCACCACTTTCAGGCAACTGCTCTGTGAAAATCCTTCGGGTCGAGGATGGCCCTCCTCCCCCAAAAACCTGGCCAGGAGTCGGGCAGCAGGGCAGTCTTCTGCCGACTCCTTCAGCTTGAACACCAGCACCACGCTGCAGCCATGATCTTGGGGTGGGTGAGGCCCTCTCAGAGGACCGGCTTCAAAGGGCAGCTGAAAATTCACCACGATGATCTGCGGGAGGCCCAGCCGGTTCTCGACCCGAGAAGGCAGGGGCAGGCCTTCGGTGCAGCTGCGAAGTTGGCAAGCTGCCTCCAAGACCTCTGCACCGAAGCATCGGTAGAGCGCCGGGCCTGGCGTGGCCTTGGCCCCATAGCGGAGGTAGTCGGGCCCACATCGCAGCCGGAAGAGCGAGGGGTCCCCGTCGCCGGCAGCTACCAGGCCCGGCCCAGAGCCCTCAGCGCTCAGCCGAGCCGACAGCACGCTCGCCACGCAGGGTGTCCCCGACTTCCTGGGACGACGGGCCTCCCGGAAACCGAAGAGCCCCTGCCAGCAGCCCGAGCAACTCATGGCAAAAAGCTTCGAAGGGCTTCCAAGGGCTTCGAAGGGCTCAGGGCTTAGGGCTGAGGCTTCATAAAATCTGACAAACCTTGCCGGTGACAGGGCTCAGGGTCGAGGCTCCCATCATCTCCTTGGCCTGAGGTCTTGTGTGCCGGCACGATGGCCCAGCCAGGGGTGTGAGGCTGTGTGCAGAAAGACGGGCCTGAGGGCTTGAGCAAGCGCAAGGCTTTCGAAGAGAGGGTTTCGACTCTCACTCTCGCACAAGGCGGGTTTAGGGTTGAGCTGTTCTTGGTGTGGGCCTGGTTGACGGATCCATGATTGTCGGTCAAGCTTCAGGGCATGGCAATCCCCAATTTGCATGTGTTTGAAGGTTACGTGTTGCTGCTCAAGTTGGCGTTGCTTCGCACAACTGCTTCCCCCTTCATCCGTAATTACCGACTACTGACCCAAATCACACGGCAGGACCACGAGGTTTCCAGGCATTTCGAGCAACCCCGTGTATCACAGGATCTCAATGCACCTGTCCTGCTTGAACCTCAGAAGTTGCAAGTTCTTTGCTAAACCGGTGCCTGCACAACCAGCGAATCTCCAAAGCGCACCGGAGCTGGCAAGCTGGCGGCGACCCGTGCCGTCACTGCACGATCGCTGTAAGGCTGTTGGTCAATGTTGACCTTGTCGAGTGAGCGAAGATGCACAAACTACCGCATCTGCTCACAAAATTGTGGCGAAGAACCGGCTTCTTTCACAACTGGTCCTATTGGCTGTTCAGCACTCACAACTGGGACAAGCCTGGCGAAGATTCATGTACGACGAAAGCACTTTGGCCAGAGCGGGCAGGTTCACCACACTCCAAACTAACTCCCAACTCTCTTGTCCTATTGGCTGTTGAATCTGTTCTACCTTGTGAGCCCAAAACATAAAGATGGTGTCCTTGCAGAGGTTCCACCATGCCCTTTTGCACACTTGG